TCATACAGTATTAATAACTATAGTCACCATTCTGTAAATTAAATCCTCAGCAATGCAGTACATCCTACAAACTGGAAGTCTGTACCTTTTGACCACCTTCACTCAATTCAACTAACACCCATTTCCCCCATCCTCCCCCACCCCGCCCCATCTCCAGCATCCACTAAACTTTTCTCTCTGTCTATGAGTTCATTCTTTTAAGGTTTCACATATAAGTGATATCATAAAGTATTAGTCTTTCTCTGATTTATTTCACTTGGCATAATGCTTGAAGGTCCATCCATATTGTCACAAATGGCAGGCTTTCTTTTTTTATGACTGAATAATATATCATCAGATGATGGAATCTATATAATGGGTTATACAATTATATATAATATTCCATTATATATTTATAGTTATAATATTCCATAATATACATATATATAGTATATACACAGACACCATATTTTCATTTTATGGTGTATATATATGTGCCATATTTTCTTTATCCATTTACTCATTGATGGACATTTAGGTTGTTTTCATATCTTATTGTAAATAATGTTGCAAAGAACACTGGTATACAGATATATTTTCAAAACAGTGATATCCTCTCCTTAAGATCAATACCCATAAATGGAATTGATGAGTAAGTTAACTCTATTTTTAATTTTTTCAGGAACCTCCATACTATTTTCCATATGGTACACTAATTTACATTCCCACCAATAGTGCCCAAGGGTTCCCCTTTCTCATGATCCTCGCCAACTACTGTCATATCTTTTTGACAATAACCATTCTAACAGCTGTGTGATGATATCTCCTGATGGTTTTGATTTGCATTTCCCAGATGTTTAGTGATGTTGAGCATCTTTTCATACACCTGTTGGCAATTTCTTTGTCTTCTTTGGAAGAATGTGTATTCATATTGTTTGCCCATTTTTTTAAAGAAAAATTGAGGTATAATTTACATATAACATATTAGTTTTAGGTATACAACATAATCATGTGAGATTTGTAAATTTGCAAAATTATTGCCATGAATAAATCTAGTTAACATCCATCACCATAGTTAAATTTTTTTTCTTGTTATGAAACTTTTAAGATCTACTCTTAGCAACTTTCAAATATGCAATACAGTATTATTAACCATATTACCATGCTGTGCATTACATTCTGTGACTTATTTGTAACTGGAAGTTTGTACCTTTTTGACCTCCCTTACCCACCCCTGCCACCTGCTTCGGCAATCACTAATCTGTTCCCTGTATCTAGTTGTTGTTGTAATTTTTTTTTTTAAGACCACATATAAGTGAGATCATATGCTATTTGTGTTCTCCGTCTTATTGCACTTAGCAAAATGCCCTCAACGTCCATCCATGTTGTCACAAATAGGAAGATTTCCTCCTTTTTTTATGGCTGAATAATATCCCATTGCATATGTACCACTGTTTCATTATCCACTCATCTATTGATGAACAGGTGAATCACTAATTCCATTTCACTATGACCTTTTTCCGACGCTTTATCTGGTTCTTTCATTTGGAACATATTCCTTTGTTTCTTCATTTTCCTTGACCTTGTTGGTTTCTAGGCGTTCGATAAAACAGCTCTCCCAGTCCTAAAGCAGCCACCCTGGCGTGGGGGATATAACTTAATCGTTCAACCCTGCCCTAGCTCTTGGTTGTCTCTCAAACCTTTGGGATTGTCCTAGCAGCCTACTTTGTTGTCAGTGGCTCTCAGGAGTTGTGGGTGTGTCAAGACTTCTCAGTGTCCTGGAGAGGAAGATCCCAGTCAGCACACAGGCTGGTTGGAAGCCAGCCCCTCGGGTGCCGGTATATGCAAATATACCTCTTTCGGGGGGGGGGGGGGGGGAACGCTGGGCAATGGATGTTTCTGTGCGCTCCCTCTGCACTGGGCCCTGTGGTGACAGTCAGTTAAGAACTGTTCCTTTGCTACTGTCCCGCTGACCTCCAGGGCCGGTTATCAGGGGATGTGTCCTGTGGGTAGTAGCCACAAAAGCTGGGGTGTCAGCCGTGCACACAAGGTCCTTTCCCAGAGACACGGACAACCTGGGGCAGGGTAGAAGGAGTTCGAAGATGGTCCCTGTCAGTCTCTCAGTCTCTGGAGAGGATCTGTCTTGGGCTCCCCCACGTGTGTTTCATTAGAAGCCAGTTCCTTAGGCCACAGCTCTGCAGATAAGCTAAAAGGCCTGTCGCAGAAAGACTGGGATGACTTCAGTCGGCCACCTCTGTGCTACGTCCTGGACTGGGCAGTGGTCGACAACTATTTCTCCGTTTGTTACAGCCCTGTGTGACCTGCCGATGTAAGGCCCGCGGGCCACCAGACAGGTGCACGAGCTCCTAGCAATGTGGAGTCTGGCAGAGGGACGGCGGAAGATAGTGCGGGCTCTCCACGGTCTCTGGAGAGGACCACAGCCAGCCGTGTGTTTCGATAGAAGCCTGTCCCTCAGGCCTCATGGACGCAGGTATGCTAATAGGCCTCCTTTCCAGAAAGACTGGGGGCACATTTCAGACTGCTGCCTCTGTGCTGTGTCCTGGGGCGTGGCCAGTTAACAGCTCCTTCTCTGTTACGGTCCCAGTGCCAGGCGATCAAGGGGTGTTCCCTGGGTGGCAGCTATAAACACCAGAGCCCCGGATGTGTGCACAAGCTCCCTTCTGAAAGATAGCTGAGAGCAGCTGAGAGCCAGGCAGAGGGACGGCCGGAAGATGGGGCCCTCCAGCCTCCATGAGCTTTGAAGAGTATTTCAGTTGGGTCCTAGGTGTGTGTGACATTAGATACCTGCCCTTCAGCCCAAAGCTTTTAACACAAGCAAATAGGTCTCTTTCACGGAAAGACCAGGCGTTTCAGTCAGCTGCCTCTCCACTGTACCTGGGGGGTTAGCCAAAGTAAATCCACATGGGCACTTTAAGAACTGTTTCTTGGTTCGCTATAGCCTTGTAGACATAAGCCCCATTGGCTTTCAAGCTAGATGTTTTGTGGACCCATCTCTCAGGTGCATGTCTTAAAAGGTGGGGTGCCAGATGTGGGGTTCAAACATTTTGCTTTCCAGGAAGAAGCTCAGAGTTGTGAGTTCCCGCCTGACTGTGGGTTACCACATTTGGGGAGGATTTTATGGTGAGATACTATCTCAGCCTCTCCTACCCATTTTGATGTGCATTTTTGTTTTGTTTTATTTTTTAAAGTAGGCTCCATGCCCCACGTGGGGCTTCAATTCACACCCCAAGATCAAGAGTCAGATGCTCCACCGACTGAGCCAGCCAGGCCCCCCTGGATGTGGGTTTTTTATCCACCCAATGTGTAGGAGGCCATCAAGTTAGTTTTCAGATTTCTTTCAGAGGGAACTGTTGTGTATGCAGCCGTAGATTCCGTGTGTATGAGAGGAGGTGAGTTCAGGATCCTCTTATGTTGCCATGTTAAACGAGAGGCTCAGGTTACAAGACCCACTAATTGGTAGCTAGAGAGAGTTTGAGTAATACTTGTTAAGGACCCAGTAAGTATTTTGATGCAGAGAATTTAAACAAAAAAGGAAAGTAAGGAGCAGAAAGCTATTTTGTTTTCCTTTCTTGAGAATTTATTTCTACACAAAACTTTTGGACTTGTAAAATTATTCCACTGACAATATTCCCTACCCACGCTATTGTGTATATGTGACTTAAAAAATGTACTACTGATTGAGAAATCCAATATGCATATCATGTGTTCTACAAATATAAGATTGAATATTCAAACAAAGGCATTGTGGTTTAAAAAAGATAACCAATAACAGAAAAAGTTTGAGTTCTTTATGTGTAACGAATGTACTTTTTTTACATAGCCTAAACCAGAGGATTAATATAAAGGAAAATATATCATAAAACCATGAAGACCAAGAGCCCTAAAATTATTAGTTTTTTTTAAATTTTATTTATTTAATTTGTCAGAGAGAGTGAGAGAACACAAGCAGGGTGAGTGGCAGGCAGAGGGAGAAGGAAAAGCAGGCTCCCCGCCAAGCAGAGAGCCCGATGTGGGACTCCATCCCAGGACCCTGGGATCATGACCTGAGCCGAAGGCAGACGCTTTACCAACTGAGCCACCCAGGCATCCCTAAAATTATTAGGTTTGATGTTAAAGCTATTTCCAAAGCTACAGGGAAAAAAAATGACTAAAAATCACTAAAAAATCAGAAGTTTCAAAGCACCTAATCTTGGTCTATGCTCTAGGATTTGTTCTAAGTCTTTTACTAAATTGAAAGACATTTCATTAAAATTTGTTTGATGTTTAAAAACCCTATTTTCCCTAGATACTTGTACAAATTTTTTCTATTATAAGCCTCCTCTTTTTTCAGTTTTATAGAAAAAACAAAGATAAAAAAACAAAGATAATGAGGTGCTTTGTAAATCTTAACCCTCAGTAATGTTTAGTTTAATCCCATCAGTTTTACTGCAACCTAGTAAATTAAGAGAACATAAGAGGGAAATCAAATAGTGCTGTTTTTCCTTCCCCAGTTCAACAAGTATAAGTAACAACTCTACATAAAAACAAATCAAATTGGGAATGTGAATGAGAACCTATGTAGCTTCTTACAATTACCTAAGTTACACAGACAAATGGAAGCTTTGATCATACAAATTCCAAGGAATACAACTGTCCAAGCCTCCACAGTGAGCCGTTCTAAATTTCGTCTTAGCCACCAGTGCAATGTAGGACACAGGGTAAAGCTGGGTGGGGAAGGCCCCATAATGGTCCGTGATCTGCTACAGAACCTAACTCTCAAATCCCACAGAAATGTTTCTTGCAGTCCTAATAGCCACGGCCACTCTGCACAGAGTCCTCTGACTGCAGGGGCAGTAAGAGCAGCCGGAGGTCGTTGCAGTGAACACATGCAGCCAGGATGGCGCGCTCATGCAGGCACAGTTTCGAAAAAAAGACGGTACGCGGGACAAACAGAAAAGCTGCACAAAATGACGTCAAGACTGAGAAGGACCATGAGTTAGTTAGAAGGAACATGCTTTTATTTACCCTTTCTTCTCCCTTTGAAAACATCTATACAGGCAGGTGCAAAGTACCGCAAGGCCAACAACTGCAAGAGACCAGGAAACAAAGGATATAAAACTCTGAGAGCTGCGTGTCAAGATTCAAAATTTAGCAGCAGAAATAAGTAAGTGTCGGTTGCATTTCAGTAGTTAGAAAATGTTATTTTATTTAAGCACATATCTATTCATCTGGACTCTTTTACTATCTAAAGCCCATTCCCTGGAGTCACTTGAATAGTCCACAGGAAGCCAGAGAAGAATCCTTGCTTAGTTTAGAAAATTACCCAAAGCATCTTTGGGATGCAAACTCATGACCAATCATCCTGAAAACATTGTAGTATTTAGGGTTTTTTAATAAGCGGACATGTACAGTATAAAAGAATATACATTCACCAGCAAAATGTAGTGTATCATATACAAGGTCAGGTTATTCTAGACTGGTGGACTTCATTTCAAGCTATTGAAACTATAGAAACTGAAAAATCATTTAAAAAGTAATGCACTTCTAGGGGTGCCCAGGTGACTCAGTCAGTTAAGCATCTGCCTTTGGGTCAGGTCATGATCCCAGGGTCCTGGGATCGAGTCCTGCATTGGGCTCCCTGCTCAGCGGGGAGCCTGCTTCACCCTCTGCCTGCTCTGCCTGCCCCTTCCCCTGTTTGTGTGCACGCACTCTCTCTCTGACAAATAAATAAATAAATAAAATCTTAAAAAAAAAATAATGCACTTCTTTGCAGTCATATTTTGATTAAGTGGCATCAACATTCAGGCTACTTACGAATAGTAAGGACAATCACAGCAATGATTCCTGCATCTGAGAAAAAATGAAGACAGTTTGAAGACTGAGCACACAAGGGTCCCAGAGGGTAGTTGCATTTAATTCCGATCAGATCATCTATACGCTACTGCAAAGAAGTTGCTCCTCGGTCTAGTTTTAGCGTGAGCGCTAGTGTGTCCAGCTCATTCTGATCATAGAACCCTTCTAATCAGATTCCAGGTTTAGGATCCATCTTGTGAAACTCTTCACTGGAACCTGACTTTTCATTATTTTGTGCTGTTGGTACCACACCAGGTTATTTAGTAAAGCCAGGACTATCAGAATTCCCTAGATTAGAGGAAATTACCTACAAGTCTCCATACACAGTACCACTTACGTTTATCATGTTATCTGGACTACTAAAATGTAAACTAGTAAATGTCAAATTTTGTGAAACTCTGTTCCCTCCTTAACTACAAATGATTGGAACACGATAGATATGTCCATGTAGAACTCCAAGGCCTCATAATGCAGAGTAATTAGTAGCCAAAATAATACCTAATTCCTCAAAGTCTTCAAGTATTAGTGGGTCGTTGGGCTCGGGATAGCCTAGGGAAAAAAATGGAAATAAGTTAAAAAAGAAAGACAGACTAAAGCTTAAAGATCCATAAATTCACTGGTTTTATTTTTTGCCTTTGTATAAACCTACTTATAACTTCATTTTCCTTAATGTTTGTCCATAAAAGTGGTATCATAAATTATAAATTTATATTTGATGTCATCAACAATCTTCTTCCTGTCCATAGTTCCTGTGACAATATTCTGTGGTATAGGAAGCAAATTTATCACTACTATATCCTCAAAATTAGCCTGAATTCAACATGATTTCTACACATTGTAGAATTTAGGGTTTGTTACTAAGGAAATTAGTAAAATGACTAAAATCAGAAATAGAGGAGGACTTCAAAACAATTTAGAAGTTGATCTGGAACAGAAAGACTCTTCAACGTAACAAAAGCCACTTAAGAAAAACACATGGCCAACATCATATTTAATGGCGAAAGACTAAAGTTTTTCCCTTAAGATCAGGAACAGGACAGGGTGCCTGTGTTTGCCACTTCTATTCAACATAATATTGCAAGTTCATATCAGAACAATTAGTTAAAAAAGAAATAAAAAGCATTTAAATTGGGAAGAAATAAAATGATCTCTGTTCATAGGTGACATGATCTTTTACATAGGAAACTAAAGATTAGACACACATGCACACACACACACCACAGGCCTGGTAGAACTAATAAATGAATTCAGTAAAGTTGCAGGATACAAAATCGACATGTGAAAATCAATTGCATTTCTACACACTAACAATAAGCAACCTAAAAAGGAAATTAAGAAAACAATTCCATTTATAGTTGAATCAAAAAGAATAAAAGACTTTGGAATAAACATGATAAAGGAGGTAAAAGATTTGTACACTGAAAACTATAAAATATTGCAGAAAGAAATTTATAAAGACAGAAATAAAGGGAAAGCAATCCCTGTATTTGTGGATTGGAGGACCTACTAATGTTAAGATGTAAATATGATACAAAGCAATCTACAGATGAAGTGCAATTCCTATCAAAATCCTAATGATGCTCTTTGCAGAAAAAGAAAAATCCATCTGAAAATTCATACAGAATCTCAAGGGACTAGGCAATCTTGAAAAGAGAAAGCAAAGTTGAAAGGACTCATACTTCCTGATTTCAAAACTTACTATAAAGCTACAATAACCAAAACAGAATGGTGTTGGCATAAAGACCGACCTACAGACCAATGGAATAGAAGCCACAAAACCTTTGGGTATATAGTTAAGTAATTCTCCATAAGGGTGCTGACAACATTCAATAGGGAAAGAGCAATCTTTTTCACAAATGGTTTTAAAAACTAGATAACCACATACACAAAAGGATGAATTTTAACCCTTGCCATTCACCTTTGGGTATATAGTTAAGTAATTCTCCACAAGGGTGCTGACAACATTCAATAGGGAAAGAGCAATCTTTTTCACAAATGGTTTTGAAAACTGGATAACCACATACACAAAAGGATGAATTTTAACCCTTGCCATTCACCAAATACAAAAATTAATTCAAAATGGATCAAAGACCCTAAAGATCTAAAACTATAAAACCCTTAGAAGAAAATAAGACTACATGCTTCATGATGTTGGATCTGGCAATGATTTATTGAATGTGACACCAAAAGCATAGGCAACAAAAGAAAAAACAAAACTTAGACTACATCAAACCTCAAGACTTTTGTACATCAAAGAACACTAACAATAGAGTGAAAAAGCAACCAACAGAATGGGAGAAAGTATCTGAAACTCATATAATAAGGGATTAATATCCAAAATATAAAATGAACTCCTAAAACTCAAAAACAAAAACAAAAGAACCACAACCCATCAAAAATGGACAAAGGACTTGAAAAGACATTTCTCCAAAAAAGATATACAGGTAGTCAATAAGCACAGGAAAAGTTGCACAACACATTACTAATTGTTAGGGAAATGCAAATAAAAACCACAATGAAATTCTACCTCGTATATTACCTAACATACATTATGATGGTTATTATCAAAAAGCAGAAAATAATATGCGTTGGCAGAGGTGAGGAAATTGGAACTCTTGTGCATTGCTGGTGGGAATGTAAAATGTACATCCACTGTGGAAGACAGTATGGTTGTTCCTCAAAAATGTAAACATAGAATTATTATATAACCAGCAATTCTACTCCTAGGTATACAGCACCCCAAAACTGTTAACCAGGGACTCAAAATTGAAAATTTTCAATTTTCAAGTTTACCACTGAGAACAGGATCCAAACACTTGAAAGCCAATATTCAGAGAAATATTACTCAGAGTAGCCAAAATGTGGAAACAATCCAAATGTCTATCAACAGATGAATGAATAAACAAAATATAAAAAGCAATGTAATATTATTCAGCCATAAAAAGGAATAAAGTTCTGATACATGCTACAAGGTAGAGGAACCTTGAAAACATTATGCTAAGTGAAATGAGGCAGAAATAATTCCATTTCTATGAAGTACCTAGACTAGTCAAATGCATAAAGACAGAAAACAGAATGTTTACCAGGGCTGGGTGGAGGGGGGGAATTGAGAGTTATTGTTTAATGAGTACAACGTTTCAATTTGAGACTATGAAAAAGTTGATAGTAGTGATGGTTACAAACAATGTGGATACAATAATGCCACTGAAGTGTACACTTAAAATGGTTAAAATAGTAATAAAATATAATAAAAGTTTATCTAGAAAAATTAACAGAACGGTCTGAACATTTCTGAAAAGGAAATATTCTGCCAGATATTAAAACAGATCATAGTATTAGAGTGGAAAAAAATGATTCAGTACTGTCATGAGAATGGTCAGAGTTCAAGGAAACAAAGATGACTGGAACAACTATGAATTTAATGACAAAACAATTGGCACTTGAAAACAGTTGGAGAAAGAACAACTTATTCAACAAATGTTGCACTTTGCCACTGGGTAGGTGTGGGTGAAGGGGAGAGAAACTCGATCTCACTCCATACGCCATAATGATTTTCAGATGTACTAATAATTTAAATACAAAGACTGCAATCAGAACTCAGGATTAAAATGTTTATAAAGTTGTAGCATGAGGAAGATCTAAAGCTTTTATAAGAAAGACACAACACACATAGCCATTAGGGAAAAGGTCGTTACATCTATTAATCCATCTACATATTGATGTAAAAGACCACTAACAGAATAGTGAAATAAATAAATACGGTACACATTTCAAAGTCTTCATTGAAAAGAATGGCAGTAAATCTAAATATAACCCCAATATAAAACATTAAATGGAAAAAGTCCAAGTTTCAAAAAAATATATACAATATGATGTCAATTTTGTTTAAGATAAAAGAAAAAATACCCAACTATATTTATAACTACACATCTAAGGATGCTGATGGACAGAAATAAAGAAATACCCTAAACTATTAACAGTGATTAATTCAGGTAGTAGACTAGAGAAAAAGAAGGATAATTCTTTACTCATTGACTTTCACAATGTTTGAAAATTTACAAAAATATATTCATATACCTCTCATGCAACAAAAAGTTATAAAAAGCCATCTAGGGGCACCTGGATGGCTCAGTCAGTTAAGTGTCTGCCTTTGGCTGAGGTCATGATCCCAGGGTCCTGGGATGGAGTCAGGCTCCCTGCTAAGCTCCCTGCTTCTCCCTCTCCCTCTGCCCCACCCCCTCCTTGTGCACTCTCTCCCCCCCTCAAATAAATAGATAAAATCTTAAAAAAGAGCAATCTATAATTAATAGCATACAATAAAAAATCTTAAAACAGACTAGTGAAAATAAGGCCAAAAAACCCCTGAAAAAATGTTCACTTCATATTAAAAGGGCTTTAACTTATAATGAGCTCTCACAAATCAACAAGAAAAATATTTTAGAGATCTAATTTTAAAAAATGAGCAAAGGGTATGGATAAATCAATGTAGACCAAAAAAAAAGTTCAGCTTCATTGATAATTAAAGAAATGCAAATTAGAATAAGACATAACTTTGTACTCATCATCTTATAAAGTTGTTAACAATATAAGCAAGAGAAAGAATTACTGTGCCTGGATACTTTGAAACTGGAGGTTTGGTTGGATGAGTAGGCTTGAAACCTGGAAAAAATAAATTTGATTCAATTCACCAGCCTTATCAATATAAAATTATGGATTTAATGTTGATTTTTTATTTTTTAAAAAGATTCATTATTTCTTAAAATGAAAAATACACATGCTTTCCAAACTTTGCAATTCTACTTCTGGGAATTTAACCTAATATGTATTTGTACAAGCATATAAGCATGTATATATAAGAACGTTCACTACAACTTTGTATTTTATACGGAAATCCTAGAGGTTAACTGATAGTAAATCATAAAAATAATGTGTTCAGAGTAAACACACGTATCTTAAAAAAAAAATACCATCCAAGTAGTATCATACTACATAAAAAGTTATATCTTTTTCCTTTCTGCCTAGTATTTCTTGGGCCCTTTAAAACATATTTGCACATTTAGATCTGCCTTAACACCATTATATGTTGCTGATCCTTTTGATATAGTCTTTCTCTAACCGATGATAAAAAATGATTGACAATCCCATGGAGAGTTTTGATTTTTATTTTTTAAAAAAGACCCCTGTAGTTTCTCCTCTTCATAAGCTTCTTCTCACAATTCTTTCAAAAACTAAACTCTAAGGCCGCCTGGGTGGCTCAGTCAGTTAAGTGTCTGCCTTTGGCTCAGGACATGATCTCAGGGTCCTGGGATCTTGCCCACATCAGGCTCCTTGCTCAGCGGGGAGCCTGCTTCTCCCTTTCTCTCTGCCCTCGCCCCGCTTGTGATTTCTCTCTGTCTCTCAAATAAACAAAATCTTAAAAAAAAAACTAAACTCTATCAGTGTTTTATAAATCCTTTATGAAATGTTCATGGTTCAACTCCTTCAAAAGAACATCTCAACAAATATAGTACACCACAGTGCATATAGCCACCAGGACCATGTGAGTAAACATGGATGGGTCAAGGAGTATAAATTTCATATGCAATCTTAATATATCAATCCACCAAAAAACCATTTCTTTCCCTCCAAACCTCACAGCACTCAACTAAAGTACACAAGGAGGCTACCAGATACTGGGTTTACAGGAATTATAAAAAGAAGTCTTCTCATTACCATGTTAATATGCATAATTTCCCCAAATCCTTTAAAATAATATGGCCATAGGAAATATACAAACAAATTAAAAGCCAGTATTCGTGATCTGTTTGAGTTCAACACCTTCGTGAAACAGTGAAGTCCACAGAAATAAGGTTCCTTGAGTGAGCAGAGCCCGACTAGGACCCTGACGAGGGCAGCCCAGGCTGATGCTCCTCCCACTACTCGTGTTGTCTCTTCCTTTCTGGGGCAAAGTGAGACCAGAGACAGCAGCACTGAAATCAGGAAGATATTTCCTTCCGTTAACGCAAAATCAGCTTTCAAGTCTTAAGCAGAGTAGCTGACAAACAGTCCCTGCAAGAAATCCTCCATTTCATTTCAATGAATAAGGATTTTTCCTGTCTTTTGGTTGCTATGAAATTTAGGTACAATTGCCAAATAAAAATTACCAATAAAAAGAAAAAGAATAATTATATGAAGCGGGAACGGGTGGAGGTGAGGGAAGACATTCAGGTCTTTTACTGGAGATAGCAGAAATTTCCCAGTTTAAATTGTGCTACATAAAAACAAAAACAAAAAACACTAAACTGGTTACAGTCCAGCAACTGAGACACAGTCCTAGACCAGGAAGATACCCTAAAGGAGCCAACAGATCACCTTTAAAAGGAATAAACAGCAAAGTCAATGACATGTTAAAAAATAGAAGCCACAGACCTTCCTCTTTACTAATATTAATCTGAGTGATGCAATAAAGTCATATGAGCTCCCTTTAGGAGCTTCCTATATGCCAGGCACTGTGCTAAGTGCTAAATGCATCCCTTTTACACTTTGTGTAACTTGCCCAATTTACATACATGTTTATATCTGCAGACTATGCCAAAAAATTTTAGAATAACTATACATAACAACTAAAATGGCTATAAACATGTCCTTCATTCTTTCATTAGTAAAAATGATGAATGAGTGTAAAACAACTGTAAAGGATTTTTGTTAAATATAAGCAGGAAAGTACTAATCTGAATGACTCAAAATTGGAGGTTTTACATTGGGAGAAACCGATCCTGAAAAACCAAATAATGTAGGATCAACTACTTGGGAATTACTGCTTTCATTTATATGAATTATGCCTTTCATTCTTGACTTATTCATGTAAAAATTCTCATGCTTCAATCTATTCTAAAAGTGGTCGCTATGCATTCTTACAAATACTACACAAGAGAAATTTATATACCTGTGTGAGGTACATGCCCTGTTAAGACCCTATGAAAACATACAAAATCACAACACAGATATTATCTCATGCCTCCATCATGGAAATAAATACAAGACAGAGTTAAGTAGTAAAATTTCCTCTTTTCAATGATTCAGTATCATTGATATTGAATGATATGGAAGAAGAAATAAAAGCTAACACAAAAAGACGGAAAAAGACATTTGTACCTCTGACACATTTTGGCATCGCAGGCTCCCAAGTACTTCTCCCACCACAGAACACTGGGCTGCTGCCATTAAGATAGAAGCCTGGGAGGCATTCAAATAGAACCACTGCTTGGTAGGAATATTTGTCTCTGATTCCTGATACCAGTCTTCCATGTTCAACTACTGGATAATCACATTTGACCACTGAAAAGTGGAGAAAGTGCAGAATTAATGGAAAGCTGCTCTAACATAGGAGCAGAAAAAATATACAAGCTAATAATTCCCAGCAGGAAGAAACATACAAGGAATGAAAGGCAAGGTATTAAATAAAAGAAAGAAAAAAAAAAAAAAGACACCCAAGAAACCTGCATACGTATGTACATTTTAACTCCAGGGAAACAGATTTAGAGAAATCTAATAACTTTTTTCCATCTAGAAAAGACTAGCATTATAGTTTATTGGCTTTCCTACATTTTTTCCCGTTACTGACAAGGTTTGAAAAAGGCCTGACTGCCACATACAAATCCGGGGTAAGTTCAAGAGCAACTTTCGATCCTCCTTTGCTCTAGGGACTTTCTGAAGGTCATGTTGACACTGACTGCATACCCTGCTTTTCTAGAAAGGCGGGAAACACCCTTCTGAGCAGGCAATACTTGAGCTCAAATTTACAAGTTGAAAAGCAGGTAGCCATGCAAAGATAGGCAAAAAGGAAGTGCTCAGGTAGCAACAACATACACAAACCAGGAGGTTCAAGAAATGGAAAGGCCTGCAACCCAGAGCTCAGACAACACATTTTACCCTGTAAACCAGTACATGAGCACACAGGCCTAAAATACAAGTTAGCGCATACCAGCGGGCTCTGCTATTTCCCATTCCACTCTACCTCTGAAGAGGTAAACTACTAGTCATGACCTGATAGGACTGAGTTCAGAATCGATTAATGGGCTTGGGAGAATTTGGAAACAAAGACAAAAACCACAGGGCTGGGCAGTGAGTACAACAGAACATCTTAGGACATTAAATCTGAGCAAGAGAGAAGGGCCAGAGAGTGGACAGCCTTTTCAACCAGAGGACTGTTCTTCCCCTGTTCCCAGGGATTCTGACTTTCCCGCAGCCTGAGGAACTTCCGGTAGCAATTCCTACAGTGCAGGTCGGCTCGTGATTCCCTTGGCTTGGGTTTATCTCCAAATGTTTCATTTCCTCATCTTCAGCTTTGAAAGATTTCTCCTTGACGGAGAATTCTAGATTAAGTTTATCCAGCACACTAGCAGATACCGTCTTCCAGTCTCCACCGTTCCTCAGGACAAGTCATGTGTCACTCACACTGGGGGCGGGGACAGTGCGACAGGCGTTTATTCCCCCCTCTTCCCGACTGCTTTTCTTCGCACACCTTTTGTTTTCAGTAGTTTTACCCTGATGCGTTTAGTGTAGTGGGGGTTCCTGACTTTCTTGGTGCTGTGACGTTATCGTTTTGGGACAAATGTGGTTAATATTTGGCCAATATTTATTCAAATCGTTGTCCATCCTGTTCTTTCTCCTCTTTCTGAAGCTCCCACAGCGTGTATGCTTGACTTCTTGCTACTCTTCCACAGGTCTGTAAGTCTCTCTCTTTTTAATTATTTCTTTTCAAATCACATTGTCCTGACTTCAGGTTCCCTGAGTTTTGCACTGTTGTGCTAAGCTGCTGTTACCGGCAATGGCTTCTTCATGTTGGCTAGACACAACTTACCTACAGTAAACCTCACCCTTTCCAGTACCCAGCTGTATTAGGTCTGACAAATGCAAATAATCATGAAATTACCACAATAAAGACACAGACAAGTTCCATTACCCCCCAACATGTCCTCATGCCACTCTGGAATCAACCCTACCCACCCCCACAACCACCTTCACCAACCAGCCCAACACTGATTGCTTTTCTATCTCTATACAGCTGCTTTTCCAGAATGTCATAATGGGATCACTGCCTCTGAGTATGGCTTATTTCACTTAGCATAATGCCTTTGAGATTCCTTCCTGTTGCTGCATGGATTAGAGCTCACTCCTTTTTATTGCTGAGTAGTATTCCTGTACTGTATGGATGTACCCCTGTTTTTTTTAATCCATTTCACCAGTTGAAGGACAAGTCGGTTGTTCCCGGTCTGGGGTGATTATAACTAAGGCAGCTGAATATTCTCACACAGGTTTCTATGCAAGCATGTTTTCATTTTACTTGGATTGATGAGTTGTATGGTAAATATATGTTTAACTTTATAATAAATGTAAAAATATGTTCCAAAATGGTCATACCACTTTTATTCTTACCAACAATATATGAAAGTTCCAATTGCTTTATATCATTGCTGGTACTTGGTATTAGTCATTTGTTTTTAATTTCAGTCATTCTAATAGGTGTTTAGTGGTATCTCTTTGTGGTTTTAAATTGCATTTCTGTAATTACTAATTATATTGAGAAACTTTTCATGTACTTTTTTGCCATCCATATATCATGTTTATTGAAATAGGTCTACTCAAATATTTTGTTCATTTTTTAAAAATTGTTAAGCTTTGAGAATTCTTTATGAATCTTTATATATCTTCTTAATTATTAAGCTTTGAGAATCCTTTATGTATCATAGATAAAAGTCCAATTATTAGATATGTGGTTTGCAAATATTTTCTCCCAGTCTGTTGCTCATTTTTTCCCATTCTTTTAACAGTTCTTTTGCAGACCAGAAGTTTTGAGTTTGGAACATCCACCTTTTTTTTTTCTTTAAAAGATCATGCTTTATGGGTGGTATTCAAGAAATCTTTGGCTAGGTCACAAATATTTTGTTTGTTTTCTTGCAAAAGTTTTACAGTTTTAGGTTTTACATGTAAATCTGTGGTTCATTTTTTCCCCTAAATTTTATTAATTTTTTAAATTTTTTGAAATTTGAGTATAGTTGATACATGTTACCTTAGTTTCAGGTGTAAAACACAGTGATTCACCATCTCTATATGTTATGCTATTACTCACCACAAGTGTAGCTACCACTTGTCACTATACAATATCATTGACTACATTTCCTATACGGTACATTTTATTTCCATGACTTATTCATTCTATAATGGTAAGTCTGTATCTGTCACTCCCCTTCACCGATTTTGTTCATCGCCCACCTCTCTTTCCTCTGGCAACCATCAATTTGCTTTATTTATAGGTCTGATTCTGCTTTTGTTTGTTTTTTCATTTGTTTTGTTTTTTAGATTCCACATATGAGTGGAATCATATGGAATTTGTCTGTCTCAGTCTGACTTATTTCACTGAGCATAATACCCTCTAGGTCTATTCGTGTTTTTGTAAATGGCAAAATCTCATCCCTTTTTATGGCTGTGTAATATTCCAGTGTGTGTGTGTGTACATACAACACATCTTCTTTAGACATTCATCTATTGATGGCCACTTAGGTTGCTTCTGTATCTCAACTACTGTAAATAATGCTGCAATAAAGGAGTGCTTATATCTTTTCAAATTAGTGTTTTTGTTTTCTTTGGGTATGCCCAGTAGTGGAATTATTGGATCTCTATGATCCATTTTGAATAAACGTTGGCTTCTGGTGCTAACTTCGGTCAAGTTTCCTTTTTGTTTTTTTTTGGGGGGGGGCACATAGATGTCTAATTATTGTGCTCTACCATTTGTTGAAAAGATTATTGTTTTTCCACTGAATTGTTTGTATACCTGTATACCTGAAGGACATCAACTGGATATATTGGCAAGAATCTAATTCTGGATTTAGTATTCTATTCCATTGCTCTATATGGCTATTCTTTCACCTATACCACATTGTCTTGATTATATGCCTTAAGTATGCTTTATATAGTCTTAACATCAGGTAGAGTGAATCCACCAATTTTTTTCAAAATTATTTTCACTATTCTAGTTATTTTGTTTTCCCATATAAAGTTTAGAACCAGTTTAATTTATACAAAAAGTTCTGCTGGGATTTTTATTGGGATTGTGCTGAATTTAGATAAATTACAGAGAATTGACTATTATATTGAATCTTCCAAACCATAACTAATGTCTATCCTTTCATTTATTAAGGTTTTCTTTAATTTCCTCTATTAGCGTTTAGTAGGTTTTAGCCTTAAAAATCTTTCATATATATTGTTAGATTTATACTCAAGTATTTCATGTTTTGGAGCTACTGTAAATACTTTTAAAAATTTCAATTTCTAGTGGTTTATTGCTAGTATACAGACTTATAACTGTCTTCTGTATGTTGATCTTATATTCTGCAACCTTTTTAGAACTTCTGTCTTTGTTCTACACAGACCATCGGGTCCTAAGTGAACAGTGACTTTATTTCTTACTTTCCAATATGTATGCCTAATTCTTTCTCTTTCCTTGTTGTAGTAGCTGGACATCCTGTACAATGCTGGATAGAGTGGTGAGAGTAGATTTCCTTCTCTTACTCCTACCATGGGGGAAATCAGTCTTTTACCATTCAATATAATGTTAGCTCTGAGATTTTTGTTGATGCCTTTTATCAGATGAGATAGTTACTACCTTTCTATTCCTAGTTTGTTGAGAAATTTTATCCTGAAAAAGATGAATTGTCAAGTGCTTTTTTTTTTTAACATTTATTAAGAGGATCATGTTTTTTTTTCTTATTTATAGTCTCCTGATATAGTAAATTACACTGATTAATTTTTAAATTTGAACCAATCTTGCATTTATGGGATAAATCTTACTTTGCTATGATGTATTATTATGGTTATATGTGGCAGGATTTGCTTTGTCGATATTTTGAGAAGTTTCGGTTCTATGTTCATTAAAGATATTGTTTGTCATTTTCTTGCAAAGTTTTTGTCTGGTTTTGGCATCGGGATAATGATGTCCTCATGAAATGAGTTGAGAAGTATTCTTTCCTCTTAAATGTTTTGAGGAGTTTGCGTAGAGCTACTATTATTTATTCCTGAACTGTTTGTTAGAATTTTCAAGGGAGGCCATCTGGGCCTGCAGTTCTTATTGTGGGGAGGTTTTTAACTAAAAATTCTATTTCTTTAATAGATATAAGACTATTCAGGGATGACTGGCTGGCTTAGATGCCTGGCTCACATCTCGGGGCATAGAGCTTACTTAAAAAAAAAAAAGAAGAAGAAGATGACTATTTAGGTTATGTATATCTCTGAAGTGAGCCTTGGTTGGTATTTTGTGTCTTCCAAGGAATTTGTCAATTTCATATATAAGTTGTCATATTTATAGGCACAAAGTTGTTTTCATAATATTCCCCTATTATCCCTTAAATGTCCGTAGGATATTTAGTGTTGTCCTCTTTTTCATTCTTGATATTGATAAAGTATCTTCTCTTTTTCTTTCAGCCTGGCTATAACTTTATCTATTTTATTGATTTTTCTCCAAGAACCAGGTGTTGGTTTCATTAATTTTCTCTCTTCAGTTTCATGATTTACTTTGACTGATATTATCTCCTCTGTCTCCTTGTTTTGGGTTTAGTCTGCTTGTTTAATCTCCTTGTTTTGGGTTTAATCTGCTCTTCTTTTTTGGAAGCAGAGATTACCGAGACTTCTGTTTTTCTAACATAATCATTTCAGGTTATAAATTTTCCTCTAAGCAATGTTTTCATGTACCAAATTTTGATATTTTGATATGCCATGTTTTCATTTTTATTCAATTCAAAACAGAAATAAATTCTCTTGTGAATTCTTCTTTGACTCAGAGGTTGGTTAGAAGTGTCTTGCATAGGGGCGCCTGGATGGCTCATTTGTTAGGCACCTGCCTTCGGCTCAGGTCATGATCCCAGGGTCCTGGGATTGAGCCCTGCATTGGGCTCCCTGCTCTGCGGGAAGTCTGCTTCTCCCTCACCCACTCCCCCCTGCTTGTGTCCCCTCTCTCGCTGTGTCTCTCTCTGTCAAATAAATAAATAAAATCTTAAAAAAAAAAAAGAAGTGTCTTGCATAATTATCAAATTGTTGAAGGTTTTCTAGGTTATCTGTTTTATTTCTACATTCATTCCATTGTAATCAGTTATATATTCTGAATAATTTCAATTTTTTGAAATCTGTTAAAAATTATCTTAGAGAATGTTCCATGTGCACTTGAAAAGAGTAAATATTTTGGGGCGCCTGGGTGGCTCAGTTGGTTGGGCGTTTGCCTTCGGCTCAGGTCATGATCCTGGGATCCTGGGACTGAGCCCCACGTCAGGCTCCCTGCTCAGTAGGAGCCTGCTTCTCCCTCTCCCCGCCCCCTACTCGTGCTCTCTCTCTAATAAATAAATAAAATCTTTAAAAAAAAAGACAGAAAAGAGTAAATATTTTGCTGTTATTCAGTGGTCCCTTTCTTCCAAGAGTCAAATCCCCTTTAGTGCTTCCCTGCTTTTGATCACTCTCTAGTGTCATGAACATTGTTTTTAAAATATGTTTTGTCAAGAGCTTTTCAGTCTTGGCGGTGAGAGGGTTAGTCTTTTACAATTTATCCTGTAGCCAGAACTCTCAGATAGCTTGTAATATAAGAAAAGATTTTCTTATTTTTAACCCAGTATGTGTTGAGTTTTGGGGTTCTTTCAAGCAAAAAATTCCTAACTTGTGCATATACACAGTAGTTCATCCTGTGTGAACTAGAATGCTGAGAACAGATGGGATGAAGAGCAGGGAACTCTGTAACTAGAACTGATTTCATTTAACCTGTATTAATCTACATTGGAAGTCAATTTAACAGAAGGAGGAAGCATATATGACTATTTTGTTTACTTATAGATAAAACTATTTATAAAATGTTTCCAAATTTAAAATTTACAAATGAAGAAGGAAATAAATGGAAATATCACTACCTTTACACTCAGGAGGGCTACTACTCCACTTGTTATTGTCAACACAAATAAGTTTGCTGTTTCCAACAAGTGAAAATTCATCTGGTCTTTGTGAAGGGTTACAACTAAAAGTAATTAATTCATTATATTCAAATATAGTTCTGTGACTGTTGGTGTATTTTCCATTTTTTATTTTTGCAGGTGGTTTACAGTAAATCCCTTAAAAAGGAGATAAAAAGAGGAAATAAAGGGCAAAAGGAAAAGTGTTAAGATAGCATTATACAGTCCTATGAACTGCCTTCAGTAAATTCATTAACAATTTCTACAAGCTAGCTGTGAATCTAGTACCTATTTAGGCTTCTATGACAAAATGAATGATCCCAAATTCAAACCTTTGAAATAAACTTTCAAAACACAAAACTCATTTTCTTTAATACCTATATGAAATACCTATTATTACTTTATAAGGCCATGCTAAGTTTTGTTCTGGTCATCATTAAAGGTACTGAAATTTTAATGAGAAGACATGTTTGGTGATTAAAAATAAAATTTACTGCTAGCTGAGAAATTCTTTATATTTAAATATATCCATTTGCAAATACACACACACACACACACACACACACACATATATACATTTGCTAAATAAGTGATTCACAATAATACTAAGATATTGTCTTTCTTCACTTTAATCCTTATGAACATACAGTGAAATTTTCCAAGGCTACGTATTGTGTGCTTTCACAACAGACTGAATCCAGATGTCCTTCTTTAAGCCAAATATGAAAGAGATTGCAAAAATGTAAAACAATGGCACTATTTTCAGTATTTGGTTTGGAAAATTTATTTTTCATAAAAATATGCTGCATATGTTAACGTATTGAGCTTACTATTCTTAAACATGAATGAATAATTATTTTTAAAACTTCTCATTTTTTTATTCCAATATAATGAATATCAATAAGCACAGCCCACATAAAGAAAAGCTCCTTGGGATCTTTGTCAATTTAAAAGCATAAAGGGGATCTGAGGCCCAAAAGATTGAGGCTTGCTTGTCTAAATTCTAAAATGAAAATTTACTTACTATAGCATTTTGGAAATTCATCACTCCAAAACACATCATCCCCACGAAGTTCACAAAGTAGAGCTTTTTTTCCAGATAAGTAATAACTGAGAAAAGAAAAACTTACTGTTTTCTCTATTAGTTAACAAGATGCATGTAAAAATGAAAATTTTTAACACTGTTGCTTTTCTACACAGTAGTTTGAGGGAGAAGTTTCTTAAATAACATTATGTAGTGAAAGTGCTAACCATATCTGCTATTAATTAAATAGTTTCTAGGGGTGCCTGGGTGGCTCAGATGGTTAAGCATCTGCCTTCAGCTCAGGTCATTATCCCAGATGGAGCCCTACATTGGGTTCCCTGCTCATCAAGGAGCCTGCTTCTCCCTCTCCCTCTGCCTGCTGCTCCCCCTGCTTGTGCTCTCTGTCCAATAAATAAAAAAAATCTTTAAATAAATAAATAAATAGAGTTTCTACATTTGAACCGTCATTGACCAAAAGCAAAGATGTCTAAATACATCTGCTGTACCTGTCAGTCTGGCCTCTTTGCTATCTCCAGCAATCACATTACACATTCATTTCTATGCCTATGTTCACACCATTCTTCTCAGTAAAAACAACAACTGGGTAGAGAGATCAGGCCCTAGAGTTTGCCTGTCTGGATCTGAGTCCCAGCTCCATGACTCACTTTCTATCTGAGCTCAGGCAAGTCCCTTAATGGTCCCCTTGCTCAGCTTCCTCGTCTGTGAAAAGAGGATAACAGTGCATACTTCATGGGATTGTTTCAAGGATTAGATGACTTAGCATCTGGTACATACTGAGTGCTAGGCAATTTTTAGCTCTTGTTAATATTCTTTAGGTAAGAATATTTTTCTGGGACTAGCTCAGGAATATTACTCAGTGAAATTTTCTCTTGTGATTTAAATTCATGGTACTCTCTTCTGCTGGACTCTTACTGTAATAATCATGAATAATTCCATTTATTTGCTGCTTCTCATTTATTATTTTGCTTTGACACCTCTCTATACATTGTGTTTCTCAACAAGGCTACAACTTCTTTGAGAAGAGAATATGTCTTAAACTTTTTGTATCCCTCAAACTGCCTAGCAGGCTTACTCTAATTAACTACTAACTGGATGTTCCAATATTTTTACTCGGTCAAGTTAAAAAAAAAAACAGTGAAACTGTTTATATATGGATCCAGTTGCCTTTTTTCTACATTATGGTATTTAGGGAAGGATTCTGGGAAAATGGCAGAGTAGGAAGCACTAAGAATCTGTCTCCCCAACCAGACAACAAGTGCAATGGGAGAATCTGCCTAATGGAACTGTTTTGGAGCTCGAGTCTGATGAAGGCTTGCAACTTCCAAGGAAAGACTTGGACAGGTAAATTGTATTGATTTCAGTCAATATCATCTTAGCGCCGTGTCAGGTATGCATCTCCTACCCCTTCAGGCAGCTGTGTATGTGATCCTGGAGCAGCTTAGAAGCAGTTTCAGAGAGTGAGGGTGGGCAAAAAGGACCCTGTCCTCCAAATACTGGGGACCTTTGCTCTTATCACTGAATTCCGATTCCAATCACAGGGAAGCAATCAAAGAGGTGGGCAGCCACTGCTGTCATACGTACTCCTAACTCTCGTAAGCCCCTCTCTAACTGTCTGAAGTGACTTTCAGGGAATGTAAACATCCAGTACTCTTTGCTCTCCGCTTCATTTTTCACTTTTTCCCTCTCTGGGGCCAAACATTAAAGACTAGAATATTCAAAACCAAGTGCATATGTGAGGAGAAGTTAAGAAGTGAGTTGTATTTCCAAGGAAAGTCTCAGAAAAGACTGGAAAGACTGTTAGTTTAAATGTCAGGCTGATAAAATATGGGAAGAGCCCAGATGTCCATTGACAGATGAATGGATAAGAAGATGTGAAATAGATATAGATAGATAGATAGATAGATAGATAGATAGATAGATAGAGATAGAGATAATGGAATATTATCAGCATCAAAAAGAATGAAGTTTTGCCATTTGCAACAACATGGATGGAACTAGAGGGTTTTATGCTAAGCAAACTAAGTCAGTCAGAGAAAGACAAATATTTTATGATTTAACTCATATGTGGAATTTAAGAAACAAAACAGATGAACATAGGGGAAGGGGAGGAAAAATAAAATAAGATGAAATCAGAGAGGGAGACAAACCATAAGAGACTCTTAACTATAGGAAACAAACGGAGGGTTGCTGGAGGGGAGGTGAGTGGAGGGATGGGGTTACTGGGTGATGGGCATTAAAGAGGGCACTTGATGTAGTTAGCACTAGGTGTTATATGCAACTGATGTATCACTAAATTCTACCCCTGAAACTAATAATACACTATATATTAATTAAACTGGTTTTAAATTAACAATAAATAAATAAATGTGAGGCTGATCCTCAACAGAGATACCCTACCACAATCACAAAAAATATGAATAATGACATAAAACATTGGTCCTAGGGGAAGGGAAGAATTTTATTTCCATATTATTAGATTCAAATGTCCAGTATTCCACACACACACACACAAAATCACAAGACATACAAAGAAACAGGAAAGCTTGGCCCATTGAAAAAAAAAAAATAAATCAACAGAAACTGTTCCTGAAAAAGACCTGATGGCAGATTTACTAGACAAAGACTTCAAAATAACTATCTTAAACATGCTCAAAGAACTAAAGGAAGAACTGGAGAAAGTGAAGCAAATGATGTATGAATGAAATGGAAATGTCAATAAGGTAACAGAAAACCTAAAAAGAAACCAAAAAGAAATTCTGGAGCATAAAAGTCAAATAACTGGGATATGAAAAATTCACTAAAGGCATTGAAAGTAGATGTGAGCACCAGAAGAAATCAGTGAACATGAAGCCAGAACAATGGAAATTATTGAGTCTGAGGACAAGAAAGAAAAAAGAGTGAAGAAAAGTGAGCAGAACCTAAGGGACTTATGGGACACCATTAAAAAGACCAACATACACACTGTGGGAGTCCCAAAAGGATAAGAGAGACAGAAAGGGGCAGAGAGAATATCTGATGGCTGACAACATCCCAAATGTGATGAAAGACATGACTATAAACATCCAAGAAGCTCAGCAATCTCCAGGCAAAAATAAACTCAAAGAGTAACTAAGACATATAATAAACTTTCAAAAGACAAAAATGAAGAGAGAATCGCAAAAGCAGGAAGAGAGAAGTGAGTCATCATACAAGGGATCCTCAATAATATTATCAGATTTCTTACCAGAAGCTTTGGAGGCCAGAAGATAGTGGGACAGTATACTCAAAAAAGTGCTAGAAGAGGGTGCCTGGATGGCTCAGTGGGTTAAGCATCTGCCTTCAGCTCAGGTCATGATCCCAGGGTCCTGGGATCGAGTCCCACATCGGGCTCCCTGCAGAGGAGCCCTCTGCCTCTGCCTCTCTCTCTGTCTCCCATGAATAAATAAATAAAATCTTAAAAAAAAAGTGCTAGAAGAAAAGAACTGTCAACCAATAATCGTCTATCCAGCAAAACTATCTTTCAAAAGTGACGAGGAAACTAAGACTATTTATAGATAAACAAAAGCTGGGGGAGTTAGTGACCACCAAATGTCCCTTGCAAGAAATAAGAAATGCTTAAGGGAGTCCTGCAAGATGAAATGAAAGGACACTAGAAAGTATCTTTGAGCCATACGGAGAAATAAATATCAAACTAAAGATAAATACATGGGTAATTATAACAGCTTGTATGATTGTAACAATGACTTATAACTGTAATTTTTGTTTTCTTTGTAACTTAAGAGACTAATATTAAAGAAAAAAAAGAAATGTAAAATATAGTATTACTGTAACTTTGGTTTTTAACTCCAAATCTTGTTTTCTACATAATTTAAAGGATTAATTTAAAAGAACTATTAGTTTATGTTTCGGAACCCAGGATGTATAAAGATGTAATTTTGTGTAATAAACAATCAAATGGGGTGGGGTGGAGTTATAAAGGATCAGAGTTTTTGTATGTTATGACATTAAACTGGTACAAATTCAAGTTAGAGTATTATAACTTTAGGATGTTAAATATAATCCCCATGATAACCACACAGAAAACAGCCATAGAATATACACGAAAGGAATTCCAACATTTCAATACAAAAAGTCAAATAAGCAAAAAAAGAAGACACTAATGCAGGAAATGAGGGCCACAATAAAGCTATAAGGCATATAGAAAACAAATAGCACAAACACAGAAGTAATTCTCTCCTTATCAGTAATTACTTCAAATTTAAATGGATTAAAACTCTCTAATTGAAAGACAGAGATTGGTAGAATGGATGAAAACACACGATCTAACTATATGCTATCTATTAGAGACTCACTTAAGATCCAAGGACAAAAACAGGTTGAAAGTAAATGGACTGAAAAAAATATTTCAGCAAATAGTAACCAAAAGAGAGTAAGGTTGTCTATACTAGTATCAGACCAAAGACTTTAAATCAAAAAAGGTTACAAGAGACAAAGGATAGGGCGCCTGGGTGGCTCAGTCGTTAAAGCGTCTGCCTTCGGCTCAGGTCATGATCCCAGGGTCCTGGGATCGAGCCCCGCATCAGGTTCCCTGCTCCGCGGGAAGCCTGCTTCTCCCTCTCCCACTCCCCCTGCTTGTGTTCTCTCTCTCCTGCCTCTCTCTCTGTCAAATAAATAAATAAAATCTTTAAAAAAAAAGAGAGAGACAAAGGATATTATACATTAATAAAGGGTTCATACAGCAAGAAGATTTAACAGTTGTAAACATTTATGCCACCTGATGACAGACCATCAAAACATATGAAGCAGGGCGCCTGGGTGGCTCAGATGGTTAAGCATCTGCCTTCGGCTCAGGTCATGATCCCAGGGTCCTGGGATCGAGCCCCACATCGGGCTCCTGGCTCAGCAGGGAGCCTGCTTCTCCCTCTCCCTCTGCCTCTCTCCCTGCTCATGCTTTCTCTTCTCTCTCTCTGTATCTCTGTGTCTCAAATGAATAAAAAAAATCCTTTAAAAAAAATAAAATAACTTTAAAAAAAAAAACATACGAAGCAAAAACTGACCAAATTAAACAAAGAAATACACATTGCTACATAATAGTCATTTCTACGAGTTGGAGACTTCAGTACCCAGTTCACTGTAATGGATAGAACCACCGGACAGTGTAAGTAAGGAAATACAGGACTTCAAGAACACAACATTTCTGTGAGTCCTCCTTCAAATCTGAAAGTTGGCATTTTAAATAGGGTGCACTTTGCCAAGGATAAAGTCACCATGATTACTACATTTTTGATGCTTACAATAAACTTATTAGATATGTAAGTATTAGACAATTTTGTTTTCCTTCAATGTAAATTTCTTTGAATTAATTATGCATCTTTTCAGTCTCTATAAAAGGCCCAAGGGCCTTTTATAAGTGCAACATTTATGGGAATGCTTGAGAAGCAAAACAAAAATGGAATTAGTAACATTTACCTTATTTCCTCTAAGGAGCAACTTACCCCTCATTACAATAAAAGTAAGCTTCACTGTCAAATTGAAAGGTGTAATTTGGGGCAAAGACTTCACCATTTTCGAGTCCTGGAGTATTACATTCTTTTCCTAAAATAAAATTTTAAAATTTGTTTTTTAACAGCAATTTCAAAACAGATTTAAATCAAGATCAAAATTCTGCACTACTCTCTGCAATTAATGCAATATCATTTTCTATAACTAACTGGTATGCAAACTTAAAATTCACATTTAACCTGGTAAACAATTGCCAAGAAAAAGATCCCCTGGGGATTTCTTAAATATTGGAAAAAATACTACTATCTGAAACCAATTTTCACATGAGAAAATCTTGCTGTAGGGGCAAATGCACCCTAAAATTTGTAAAAATCTCTAGAGAAAGCAAAAGCAAAAAAATTTTTTTTGTTGTTTTTTTTTTGTTGTTTACTTACTGAAACAAGCTTCTTCAAGAGGGTACCATGAGTGATTTTGCTCACAATAAGTCACGACGGATCGCAGAGTTAAGTATCCTGGATAACACTGATAATATACTTCCTCCCCAACTTCATAATACTTTTTAGGGCTATCCCTCAAGGCCATAGTTTCATATTTGGGTGGCTCACCACAGGCATCTAGGGATAAGAGAATAAGAACATGAAATTTTTTTGGTATGCTTTTTTATGTCTTTTTTAAATACATGTAAGTGTTATCTCACTCACCAGCCAGGGACTATGGTCTGGCAAGAGGTAGGTAATACAGAACAAATGGAAAGATCCTTGGCAAGCTTTTAATGATACTTACATGCTTTTACCCAGGTGGTGGGAGTAGTGGAGGATATGCCCCGCTTGCTTCAAATAACAGGCTATTAGCATTTTATTTGATGGGGAATAAGCTGAATTTTCATGCAATGATAAATTGAAGATACAAAATCAATGTTTATGGTCTTAAAATATATATAGGTATGCAACCATCCCCACTTTTTTCTAAATTCATTTAAAAACTAGCCTCTCCTCTAAGAAGCCTTCTGTAGTACATAGCACTCTGCTCCAATTACTCTTCCACAGTCTGAAACAAACTAATGATAACTCTTCACTTCAGGCTCAGTCTCCTTGCAGAAGGCAACTTCCTAGAGGCCAGGGATCATAGGTTTTCTTTTTTCTAATGCACTGTGAACCCAGAGGGTGCTTCAGAAATGCTAGAGTAACAAGTGATTATCAAATAAGCATTATTAATTATTAAATAAGCATTACGAAGATAAATATGCACTAAAGTCTTTCATGTAAGACTCCATTTCATGTTTCATATGAGTGAACTAAGCTTCTCACAAGTGAGTAGATACCATTTAAATATCAAAATTTACTACTCTGAATAACCTTACAGGAAAATAATGTTGCTTTTTTGGGCATTACAATACTTTAACAATAGATGCCATTATATAATAACAGGCTGCATGCAGAAAATTCCCCAGTGTTCCAGGGGAGTTTCAGGAAAGTGAAATAGTGTGCTAATATAGGTCAACACAACTGTCCGCCTCTACACTTGCAAAAATTAAAATAACTCTCTTATACCAGCACAAACCTACAGCCCTGCCCAAAAAACTACCTTCAGAAAATCTTGGTCTCCGACCAAAACTGGAATCTCAATGAAACCTGACCTACCCGCTATGTCTCCTATGGCTACACAACCTAGTTTTAAATTTTCTTTGCTTCCTCAAATAGAGACTCTGGCATCTATACCTGTCAGTTGTATTTTTCACTTCCCACTCATTTCTGGGCCCATGAAATCAGTTAAATTACTTTCAAAGTCATTAGTTGACTCCCTTCTTGGTAAATTCATTTTAACAGTTTCTTCCTCGGTAATGTTACTCTGTCTATAACATCTGCAGCCATTGATCAGTCTTGGCTCTCTCCTGCCTGAAAAGCTCTCTCCCTGGTTTCCAGGAAAGCACACCACCCAGGTTGGCAGATTGTCCTCTGGCTACCCTTCCTTCTCTGCCTAATTCCATAATGTGATGTTCCTAATGGGTTGCTGTGGGACCTCTGGTTACTTCATTCTGCACATCCCTCTCGGTGAGTGTGTATACTCCCATGACCTCATTACCACTGAGAAGAGCTGCCTCCCGAATCCTGGTCTCCATGCTTGATCTCTAGCCAAGGTGCCGACTGTATATATTCAATTGCCTCCCTGAAACTGTACCCCATAGTGTTAATGAGTTGAAACTAGCAGAAAGTTTATACATTTTTTTTCCAAGAACTATTTCTCCATAATCAGCTAGTGTGTCTTTTCACACCCTGCTAACAAACTCATGAGCTGTTACTGCAGAAGCCTGGAATCAAGGTCAATGGATATGGCTCCAGTCTACGAACAAGCAAGGCTGTGCATTCTTTACCCTAGATAAGGAGTCTAAGACCCAATCCAGGTTATACTGGCTCTCAGGGCAGGCCTGTAGCCCCTTCTCCTTGTCCTGAGATAACTTCCTGAGGTCAGGGGCTAAATTTTGCCTCCTTCTGATGCTGAGTATCCACCCCAAAGGGAACATGGTATGTATGCATGTATGACACTCAATGTACAAGCTCCATCTTTCCTCATGAATAAGTTGTAAGTTTCCCTATTGTTTTCATAAATATTTATATAATCTCAATGCCTATGATTATAAAAAAGACTTGTTCTCTCTCCCTTCAGAAAGGGGAGTTCAGGCTTGCTCTCCTGTCTCCTTTGGTTGCCTCTCAAATAAACTTTCCTAGCTACATACCTAATGTCTCTGTGATTGGCTTTGCTGTGCATCAGGCAGATGGACTTGGGTTTGGTTCTAGCCCCACAGGCCCCACTTGGAAAGTGTCATGTTCTCTCAAATAACATTATGAAGCCAGAGTGTGACCTCTTGCCTCAACAAACAGGATAGACAGTTTTCACAACTCACAATTCTACCTTTCACAATTCTACCTTTCCCTCCAGTTCAAACCACTGCCATTCCTTCTCTAGAGTGCTACCAGCATCTCTGAACAGGCCCCCTTACCTACCTCACCACCTCTCATTCATTTCATGTTTCACAATGCTGCCAGAGACACGTTGATAGGACACAGTGACCAAAGCTCTTCCAAGTCGGATACCTTTCAATGACTTCCCAACGCCCTCAGGACAATGTCTAGCGGACTTGTAAAGCCCATCACTATCAGGGCTCTGCTCACTCTTGCATCCTATTCTCAAGCCCTATTCAATTCCTGGCAGTGTCCATTAAATTACCTAAATTACGACAGCACTCCAGACCTCCCTGCATCATTTAACTTCAGCTTTGACCAGAGACCCCGCATTCCTCCCACCCTCCCAGCCACTCATCCTCCAGTTTCAGCTGACGTGCCACTTCTGGTGGCTCTTGACATCTCTCATCAAAAAAACTGGGTTAAGGGACACCTGGGTGGCTCAGTGGGTTAAGCGTCTGCCTTTGGCTCAGGTCATGATCCCAGGGTCCTGGGATTGAGCCCTGCATCGGGGTCCTTGCTCAGTGGGAAGCCTGCTTCTCCCTCTGCCTGCCGCTACCCCTGCTTGTGCGCTCTCTCTGACAAATAAATAAAATCTTTAAAAAAAAACTGGGTTAAGTGCCCTCATGATCCCCATTACTTCTTCCACAGACTACTCTATAGCAGAAGTCGTTATTGTTCATACTCCCTACGAGACGGTTACCTTCTGAGGACCATGGGTGACACCTCACTGCACTTGTAATACTTAGCGCCAGAGCTGAATGAGCGCTCTTACCAGTTCCATACACTCTTATAATATGTAGAGTAAGGACATAAGAAACTACCCTGTAAGCACTTATGGATCTATCTTGCCTTCTCCATTAGAGAGAAAGAAAAGACCTAAAAAAGACACCACTCACAGCAAGAGATGGTGGGTTTTGTCCAAAAAGCAGACCCCTCTGGAAGAAGGAGACCGGTCCCGAATTGGACCAGTGTTCCCTTCTACCATCCCATGTAGCTGGCAACCACTGCTGAGATGGCAAGCCTCCAGGCACAACACTGTCTGCTTACAAACCTGCTTCTGAGCCTGGGAGCTGCTTCAAAACTCACATGTGTATTCTAGCGCCAGATTTTCCCTGCCCGACAGAATGAGGCTCATTTGTACTTTCTCTTAATTTCATACCTATCCTGATTTTACCTTTGAACTCTCAACTTGGCCTTGTGTTTCCTTTTCTGCATTTCTGTTTTGTTACCTTCCATGTTGCACCCTATTCATTTTATTTCCTCTCTTCCAAACAACAGTCATGGTCTCCTTCAACTGTTGGCTCCAAGCCTGATCTAAACTTGATCCTTTTCTAAAACATTTTTTTGGTTTCTTTTTATTGCCACTGACCCCTCTCCACGCTACTCCCCCCACAGAAATGAACTTTTTGATGATCAGCAACAAGCAAGACTAGAGTATTGTGAGCCCTGCACACTCCACATAAACAGTGGAAGACAGAGCCTCTCTGACAGTCAGCTTCCCCTGACTGAGCTTAGGCACCACACAAAGGCCATCCTAAGGACGGGTGTTTAAAGAACCTTCCTCCTGGCAGCAGGAGGAATTTTTGCCGCCACTCTAAGTCCCAGCTTAATTACAGTGTATTATTTATATTTCACTTTCTGGTACTCAATAGTTATACAAGAGTGTTGACACTGGGCAAAAAACTGCAAATCTGGAAGCACAAGTGTGACAAGACAGAGGAGATCTCTGCATTCTAGTAGGGAGAGCAGAAGACAGTTTTGCAAGAGTGACTCCCAGTCAGGGGGGATTTGGGCTGGAGTGTGTGTGTCTATCTGAGACAGGGTGGTCAGAGAGGGGCCTCCTGAGGGGGTGACATCTCAACTGGGCTTGAAGGGTAAGGAGCCTGACAGACAAGGGGCCGGAAGAGAATGTTCCAAGTCTGAGGGACTAGTAAGTACAGAAGCCCCACAGAGGCAGAGTTTGGCCTATTCAGTAAGAGAAATTGCCCCGGCCCCTAGTCATTGTTAAAGGCTATCAGAGAATCAAGCTCCTTTCCTCCAGAACACTTGTCTCGGGTTCTAACGTATTTGTTCATAGCATGTTTTGATTTGTCTGCCACTCCCCATAAATTTTAGCAACGATTTCTCGACTGCCACTGTGTGCCTGGCACTGGGGTTCTAAGGGAGCAAAACAGTTTCTGTTTCTACTTGTGTGAGTGGAAGCAGATCAATAGTGAAATCAGGATCACGAAGTCAGGGAAAGTGAAGCTCCTGGGCCCTGGGCCCCGTCGACCCGCTCCCCGACCCGCTCCTGCTCACCGCCAGAGGGCACACCCTCTCCAGGCTCTTACCGGAGTTTAGAGAGAGCAGGAGCACTGGGGCCACCAAAAGGAACCCGACCAAGCGCCAAGAAAAGCGCTTTTCGGGGCGAAAACCACAGGCGGCGCACGGCGCGCAGGACGCCGTCATCTTGCAGGAGACCAGCGGGAACCTCAGAGCCCGCCAAGCCCTCACACCGTCTCAGGCCCGGGAAACAGACGCAACAATCCCCCAGGACCCGGGGGTCAGGAGCCACCCGCGGGGGCGTGGCCTAGACCGGTGCTTAGGCGGAAGTGGATTGCCTTCCCGAAGTGGGCGGGGCCAGCTGGCGCCCGGAGGCGGGGCCTGAGCGCGGGGGCCCAGAGCCCTCCCGGACCCGGCGTGGGCCTGCGGGGTTCGCCCCGCCGGGTCGTGGAGCTGCTCGGTCCCCTCCCGCGGGCGCCGGGCGTCCCTGCGACGATCCCGACTGCACGCCGA